AACATTTATACATAGTGGTGGATGGTGGAATTTATCCCAAAACCCCAGCAGAAATGAAATAAAACAAGGCTAAATTATATATGTAATGGATGATATTATAACAAGACATATATTACATACATTCCTATGATATACTGGTACGATTGTATTACAGTTTTTGTGATATTCTTTTTTGTATGGTAATAGATGTTATCCGGAACTCGGCAAATGTGGGTTTTTCCAAGCTGGTACAAACAAACTTTTACAGTTAAAGCTTTACGGTGCACGACTGGTCACAATAGAATTAGTCAATCAGTTATGCTTATTTTCGAAGCTGTAACTGTAAATGTTTGTTTGTATCCTAGGATTAACTGGGAACCCCCACCCCCCCCCCCCCCCCCAAAAAAAAAAAAAAAAAAAATGTTCTTAATTCAGAGTGAACTCTATTGAATTATTTGCTGTAACATTGACTGTCCCCGCAATATTATATATCATGTTATGTTGCTACCGTCTGATTCTGAAGTCTCATTTATTATGTACATGTATTATTACCTCGTGTTGTCATGTTTGCATGATCTAAGTGGAATAAATGAATTGGGAAAAAAAATTAAATTGGATTAAGTCTTTTGTCGTGTAGGTGTTTACTGTTACATAAAAGAGACGCACAAAACTAATAATTATGGTAGCATATTAATGATAAACATATATCAGTGATATGTTAGCTTGTTTTTATAGACTTTAAACATAAACACTATCCATTTAACAGAAAAATAATAAGAAAACTAGAAGTATGCATTCGCAGGAAAAATTTAGTCTTGCTTTTGTTTATTTTATTTTTTTGTTTAAACAAAGTACACAATTTTCATATTCTCTGATAAAATTAGCTTTTCTGATGTCACCGAGCTTTGAGACATAAAATAAACGTTCAACTTAAGTAAAGGTGTCATGTTTAAATAACATGTTCTTTTTATTTTTATATTTTTTTTATTTACTAATAAATAAATAACGTGTCAGGGCAGGTTGTTTCCCTTTCTTTGTATATTTAATGTCTGACCCACTATAGTCACTATTTTGTTATTCCAATTACTTCTGTTATCAGTTGGACTAGTTTCACAGGACAGAACTTAATTTCATTGGCCATTTTAGATTGGTGAATCTCATTGGTCATTCTTAAATAAAATGTAAAGGACAGTTCTAGTCTTTTAAAAATAAGATTTAAAGGACAATTCTAGTCTTTTAAAATAAGATGTGCCTTTTAAAATAAGATGTAAAGGACAGTTCTAGCCTTTTAAAATAAAATGTAAAGGACAGTTCTAGCCTTTTTAAAATAAAATGTAAAGGACAGTTCTAGCCTTTTAAAATAAGATGTAAAGGACAGTTCTAGCCTTTTAAAATAAAATGTAAAGGACAGTTCTAGCCTTTTGAAATAAGATGTAAAGGACAGTTCTAGCCTTTTGAAATAAGATGTAAAGGACAGTTCTAGCCTTTTTAAAATAAAATGCAAAGGACGGTTCTAGCCTTTTTAAAATAAAATGTTAAGGACAGTTCTAGTCTTTTTAAATAAGATGTAAAGGACAGTTCTAGCCTTTTTAAAATAAAATGTAAAGGACAGTTCTAGCCTTTTTAAAATAAAATGTAAAGGACAGTTCTAGCCTTTTTAAAATAAAATGTAAAGGACAGTTCTAGTCTTTTAAAATAAGATGTAAAGGACAGTTCTAGCCTTTTAAAATAAAATGTAAAGGACAGTTCTAGCCTTTTGAAATAAGATGTAAAGGACAGTTCTAGCCTTTTGAAATAAGATGTAAAGGACAGTTCTAGCCTTTTTAAAATAAAATGCAAAGGACGGTTCTAGCCTTTTTAAAATAAAATGTTAAGGACAGTTCTAGTCTTTTTAAATAAGATGTAAAGGACAGTTCTAGTCTTTTAAAATAAGATGCAAAGGACAGTTCTAGCCTTTTGAAATAAGATGTAAAGGACAGTTCTAGCCTTTTGAAATAAGATGTAAAGGACAGTTCTAGCCTTTTAAAATAAAATGTAAAGGACAGTTCTAGCCTTTTTAAAATAAAATGTTAAGGACAGTTCTAGTCTTTTTAAAATAAAATGTAAAGGACAGTTCTAGCCTTTTTAAAATAAAATGTAAAGGACGGTTCTAGCCTTTTAAACATAAGATGTAAAGGACAGTTCTAGTCTTTTAAAATAAGATGTAAAGGACAGTTCTAGTATTTTTAAAATAAAATGTAAAGGACAGTTCTAGTCTTTTTAAAATAAAATGTAAAGGACAGTTCTAGCCTTTTTAAAATTAGATGTAAAGGACAGTTCTAGCCTTTTAAAAATAAAATGTAAAGGACAGTTCTAGTCTTTTTAAAATAAAATGTAAAGGACAGTTCTAGCCTTTTTAAAATAAAATGTAAAAGACAGTTCTAGACTTTTTCAAAAATAAAATGTTAAGGACAGTTCTAGCCTTTTAAAATAAGATGTAAAGGACAGTTCTAGCCTTTTTAAAATAAAATGTAAAGGACAGTTCTAGTCTTATTAAAAAAATGTAAAGGACAGTTCTAGCCTTTTTAAAATAAAATGCAAAGGACAGTTCTAGCCTTTTTAAAATTAGATGTCAAGGACAGTTCTAGCCTTTTAAAAATAAAATGCCAAGGACAGTTCTAGCCTTTTAAAATAAAATGTAAAGGACAGTTCTAGCCTTTTTAAAATTAGATGTCAAGGACAGTTCTAGCCTTTTAAAAATAAAATGCAAAGGACAGTTCTAGCCTTTTTAAAATAAAATGTTAAGGACAGTTCTAGCCTTTTTAAAATAAAATGTAAAGGACAGTTCTAGCCTTTTTAAAATAAGATGTAAAGGACAGTTCTAGCCTTTTAAAAATAAAATGCAAAGGACAGTTCTATCCTTTTAAAAATAAAATGTAAAGGACAGTTCTAGCCTTTTTAAAATAAGATGTTATGGATAGTGCTTGCCATTCTAAAATAAAATTTTAAGGATAGCATTTAAATAAAATGTAAGGGATAGTCGTTGCCACTATAAAACAAAATGTAGAGGATAGTTCTAAAATGAAATGTACAAAAATGGGGATAGTTCTTTAACTTTTTTAGGGGTAATTTTTTAATGATTACAAAATTTATAAAGCCAAAAACGTAAAATTTTAGTTGTCCTACTTTGAAAAATCATCAATATAAATATGCTATAATTTAATTTCATTGTTTACAAAATGAGCATTTTCTACAAGAAATAATTATTAAGTCATTGTTATGCAAGCACTACTAACATTTCTTTTTGTATTAAAAACTTAGAAATAACATAATTTTGCATGCTAACCAGTTTTACTTCGGCCGAGTATCTATTTTAAAGATACTTCTGTTCTGTTCTGTTTATTGATACAAGAAAATACAATTTGTTACGTTTTGAAGAGCATATTATTATCTACTGAATTTGTCATTATTGTGGAGATTTTAGGTCATAGAATTTAATTATTTTGCTTTTGACATTTTTCTTAATTAAAATTTATGGAACCAAATGTTTGGAATAATATGTTATAATATTGCTTGTTCTGAAATTGTAAGAAATTTCATATATAATATTAGATTTTATTGGCATATTTGGTAGCAAAGGTTACAAAGCCGATTGCTTGCCGCCCCATCCTCTTCATCCATTGTTCATCTTTTTACCTAATTTGGGGGTTAATTAAATTTTTCATTTTTTTCCCAAAAAAAGGGGTAAATATAAACTCACGTCCTCTAAATTTTAACGTAATTATTACATATTAAAATGTGTTTGATTTGAATCTGATAACTACAATAAAAGAAAGTATTCATTGTTAGAGTCTGGTATTTACTTAGTTTAATGACTTAAGACTTGATATGTCAGTTTGGTGTTTTATTTCTTATAGTAAAGTCCAGAATGCAGGGAAAATGAAGGGAGTCGAAGCTTCAGCTCTACATATTATAAGTAACACAAAAAGGAGAGAAACTTGCGAAGCCAGGTTGTAGGTTTGCATCCTGTCGTTTAGAATGTAGCCCTGTCCCTATACATATTAAAGTTAATATGAAATTAGGCAAAGCCTATGAACGGGGAAGTCGGTAAAAAAATCCTTTCATTTTTCCGTTTTTTTTAAAGATTTTCATACGGTTTATTATATGTACCCACTTCCCGTTTTCCTCGAAACCTCGACGATTTATTAATAATCCGAAAATTTTGGTTTTTTGTTCCGTTTATCCGCGATAAACCCCGCCTTTTAATATTTTGAGTTACATTGTTAAATGCGGCGCCTAACAGAACTGGGCACTGAAAATTTCATTGATAGGTATAGAATTGTATATATTTTTTAATTGTTTTTATTTGAATTTTCGTGTAGTCTATAGCCGGGGAAGTCAAAGTCCGGCTTCCCCGTATTAAAGTTACGTATTGACATGCGTGCTGTCGCCATCTTTATTAAAGAATTCAGACATAGCATAACTGTGAATTTATGCATTAAGTCAACGAGCACATACCAAGACACATTGATTAGTGCTTAATAGGGCTGATTTTGTACATTATCTGTGACTGCTCACATCATTTGGCGGCGTCTTTGATGTGCAGCATCAACATTTAACTCGTTGGTTTTTGATTTGACTATTGTAAAAATACTACAGTAACTATGAGTTCAGCAGAGTTCGTTTACCAAAGTACACACACTATGACAAGAACTGCATTCGCATTTATACGAATAGTAGGGCTAAAACGAGATTTAGTCAATTTTAAATCTTAACAGGCGATATTTTAACTGCCTCAAACAGGACACCATAGAAACGGCTAGACGTAAAGAGATGTACATTGCGTTAAGCATGCGAATTAAACATAATAATAACATAATAAGGAATTAAAGCAATTTGTAAACAGACATTGCACAAGTTAAAGACCAAAAATGAATTTTCGGATAATTTTTCCTTTACTTAATATTCATCATATCTTTAACCGAAAAGTTGCGTGCGTAAAAAAGATATTTTTGGGACTTTCCATTATCTATTTATAGACTGCCTTCATGTTTAACTTTACATAATAATAAACAAAAATATAAAACAATAATAAGAAGAAGAAGAAGAAGAAGAAGAAGGAGAAAAAGAAGGAGAAGAATAATAAGAAGGAGGAGAAGAAGAAGAAGAAGAAGAAGAACAACAACAACAAGAAGAACAAGAAACACAAAAATCAACAACAGCAACAAACATGAAAAAATGGATAACTGTGGCTTTACAACTATTTTTTATAAGTTATTTACCAACAATATGTCAATTTACAAGTTTTGGTTCTACTTACTGGTTGTTAGAAACAGGTGGTACATATAGAGGATTAAGAAGTCAATTACTGAAAGGCTCTACAGAAGTGGACAATAATGTTGAAGGTATCGTATTACAATTTACTCAATTTCTTACTGAAGCAAAAAATGCAAAACGAAAGTGGAAATTACGACCACTGTAGATCTAATGAAGTCGCATTGATTTGACCTAAAATATGTTAAATCTTGTTATTCATGTAATATTATATCCATACAGTACATTTAAAAAAAAATAAATAGAAAAAAAAGATTTTTGTTATATTGTTATATATCTAACAATAGATCTATAGCAAATTTTTTTTTCTGTTAAATTCTTTTAATGTATGGATATATTACATGACTAACAAGATTAAACATATTTTAGGTCTATCAATGCGACTAGAACATTTGGTCTAGATTCTATACTTTACTGTGCTTCTATATATTTCACATAATTGTAGAAGGGATTATATATATATGTCGGGGACATATACACGCCCGTTTAACTCACAACGAGTGAAAAATGTCCATCGGTAAAAATGTTGTGAGCAACTTCCGTTCCTCGTTGTGAGCACCCATCTTTGACGTGTGACACGATAAACAAGGTGAGTTTTTCATAATTTTTGAAGATTACAGACATTTATGTAAAAATATCGAAATGCAGTTAGCTAGCGATGTGTTTTCCGAGTATGCACATGTAAAGATATTGACTGTTGGTGGACAATTTGATGGAAATACCGTGCGACGCAGTCACTCGGGGTAGCTGGAAAACTGGAGACAACTTCTCTTTGGAGCTAATTTAACTTTGAAAACGTCGATTCTGGTGACGTTTTGTGCAGTCTAACCTAAAACAGATGCCAACAAGTCTTTCAGCGTAAATTATTATCTGAAAGTCTCCATAGAAACGAAGATATACCCTTTTTTTGCTTTAATCCTCGTTGTGAGCACCATAACCTCGTTGTGAGCAAAGACAAGCGCAGTGCGTGTATGGTTTTTAATATGTAATTCAGATGGTGAAAATATAATTTTCAATCTACCACAGCAATTAAAACGTTTTTGCACAGCAGCATTTCTTTTGCAAGACGTTGTGCATACCCCAAAGGGAGGCATATTAGTTTTGAACTGTCCGTCTGTCAGTCCGTCAATCTGTCCGAAAAACTTTAACATTGGCCATAATTTCCTTATTAGTAAAACGGATTTGATTCATATTTGAACACAACATCCCTTAGCACCTTCCTACGGACCTGTATTTTTTACCTTGGCCCCTGAATGGCCTTTACCTTGAAGGTCAAATTGTCCAAAAACATTTAAGATTGGCCATACTGTCCTGGCATAATGTTTAGGCACAGCACATCTTTAGACTAGGCCTTTCAACTATCATATATTCTTTTGACCTTGACCCCTGAATGACCTTCACCTTAAAGGTCAAATTGTCCAAAAGCTTAAAAATTGGTCATAACTTCCCTATTAGTATACGGATTCTACTCATATTTTGAAACAACACCCCTTTAGGCAAGACCTTTCAAAACTGATCTGTATTTTTTTTACCTTGTACCGTGAATGACCTTCTAGAACATCCAAAAACCTTAACATTGATCATAACTTCTTTATAAGTAAGTGGAATTAATTCATATTTGGACACAATTGCCCCTTTGGACAAGACCTTCCAACTGACCTATATTTATTTCACCTTGACCTTGAATTACCTTCACACTGAAGATCTAATTGTCCAAAAACAAAATAATCTATCTGGTCCGAAAATCAAAGGACAAAGCACCACTTCAGGGGCATTGTCAACTTTACCGTGATAGTTCTTGGTTTACATAAACTTGGTCAGTCTTCAGCTCAGGATAAACACATGTATGTGTGTATCACACATATTGTGAAATTGTTGAAATATTCATAAACACCCCGTGATGTTCACTCGTGCCACACTAGAGTATACGAAATAAAATACCTGATTTACCTCCACTGATTAGTTCATCTGTTAATCTGATGACTTGTGAATATGAAGAATAATTTTCAATAAAAGTAAAAGAAGAAAACTATTGCAAAGAAAAAACTATTGTACAAAAACGTTTTTTGATTGCTTTTGGTAGATTGAAAATTGTATTCTTGCCATTTGAATTACATATTAAAACCAGACAAGCAATGCGCTTCTCTTGCTCACAACGAGGTTATGGTGGCTCACAACGATGATTAAAGCAAAAAGGGTATATCTTCGTTTCTCTACGAAGACTTTCAGCCTAATAATTTACGCTGAAGACTTGTTGGCATCTGTTTTAGGTTAAAATGCACAAAAACGTCACCAGAATCGACGTTTTCAAAGTTAAATTAGCTCCAAAGAGAAGTTGTTCTCCAGTTTTCCAAGCTACCCGAGTGACTGCGTCGCCACGGTATTTCCATCAAATTGTCCACCAACAGGCAATATCTTTACATGTGCATTACTCGGAAACACATCGCTAGCTAACTGCATTCCGATATTTTTACATAAATGTCTGAAATCTTCAAAAATTATGAAAAACTCACATTGTTTATCGTGTCACTCGTCATAGATGGGTGCTCACAACGAGGAACGGAAGTTGCTCACAACATTTTTACCGATGGACATTTTTCACTCGTTGTGAGTTAAACGGGCGTGATATACAATTATGTTGTTTTATTTTCTTCAGTACTAGATGACCCCACTTATGTTTTACTGTTACTAGCATCTATACTACTATGGATACAATCTATGATATTTATGTGTGTTGGTGTTATAGTTGCATCAAACAGATTACACGGATGTTGTGCCAGACTCTTGTCTAAAGGTGTATACGTCGCCATAGGGATGTACATTATTGCTAGTATGTATATTTTCCTTCTTACATGTACATACTTATAATATCTTAAGTTGGTCTGGTTGACCTCACGAATGGGAAACGGACAAAGCCCTCCCAGACAAAAGCTTCGCGTCCAAAAATGATAAGGCGGACAAAAGCAATGACAAAAGTTCTCCCATAACCAAAATATATATATGTATTTTAAATACCTGTGGTTATTTTTATCAATAGACCTTTTTACGACGCGGTCCGTTGCTATGAAAAATTGACCGGAAGAAGTATTTTCTTGTGCACGCGCAATCTGCGTAGGGCAAAAAAAGCCCAACTTATTAAAATTGTAACATATATTTCAATTGGCCTAAGTATGTGTATGACCTAGGACCACCTTTCATTCAGAATATACCTGTCTGAAATGTTTAACGATGTAACTTTTTAAACGAATGTCGTTAAAAACAAATTCACTTTTAAAAGTAATTGGTACATTTCAAGGAACGTTATAAATGCCTTGGACTTTTAATTTCAGTTAATTTAAACTTCTTTTCATCTTTTGTTGCTCTATTGATCTTTGAACTCCACATAGGAGTAATCCTTTCATATTTCCGTGAATAAATATGCACTTACAGAATTTAGCACTTATTATTCAGATGCCTGTCAGGAATGTGCTCAAACTCATACCAATGGAAAACAAACATATTAATGGTTACAATTTTTAATATGTTGAATACATTGAAAAAATACAAACTATTCAACGTACATAATATTATGTATTTGATGCTGGAGGGCTTTTGACCGCCCTATTATTTTCACTTGAGGGCTTTTGTCCGCCCAGTCATTTTACGGGGGATTTAACTCAATACAGGATTGGAGCAGTGCCTCTAGACGTTTGCAGAAATTATTATCAGAAAATAGACAAATATCTTTTTTTCGCCGAATTTTGAATTTTTCATTCATTATCATACATAAATCGGCGTGAAATGATAATTTAGACCTTTTAAAGTTCATTCCGATGGGTAAAAAGGTTTATCATTCAAGCGCCGTGAAATACGGTATTAAGTGTGGTGCGGTGCTCCAATCCTTATTAAGTCGCACTCTTTTTTTACGGGGGGAGAGGGCTTTTGTCCGTCGTGTCATTTTACGGGAGTTTTTTCCGCCCTGTCATTTTTACAAGAGGGCTTTTGTCCGCCTTGTTATTATTGGACGCGAGGGCTTTTATTCCGGGGGGTGGGGGTGTAACAGAAAATGTTTCTGTTATAGCATACATGGAAACTGTACGGAAACAGAAATAGGTAACAAAATATTATACTGCTATATTAAAGGCACATTATGCCTCGGAAACAAATATTTTTTTTACTTTCTTAGAAAGAGAAGACATGAGGTTTAAAATGTTTAAATAAAGAATTTAGCCAATGTTAGATGCTTGTTACCTGCAGAAAGTAGCGATAAATGAGAAACAATTTGTCATGAATGTATCAAAATGTAAACAAAGTACTATTTTGACTTCAATTCACTATAACGCAAAAAGAAAATGGTTTAGGCAACTGGCCAATAAGTAACAGTTTGAATATTATAAAAGTACACCAACATTTAAAAGTTATTTACAAGTAAAATTAAAGCCTTTCTGAGGCATAATATGGACCTTTAAGTAAATTTAAACCGTTTATCAATGATTTGATCCCTGCGCCCTTCGCACAAAAAATAGATCTTTCATTATTTTTTTTTTGAAAAAACAAACAAACTCTTGCTAAGCTTCAAAAAGCAAAGATAAAGCTTTATACACTTCCGCATTACCGTGTACTTTTACAAATATCTGCGGATGTTTCTGAATTCCAAAAATTCTGTTAAAGCTGGTGCAAGACGGTAAATTGCATATTTCCAATATCGTCCATGAACAACCTCAATCATACCGAGTCTGAAACATTTTTACCCCCTTTTTTTGCGATTTTAAGTGATTCAATCATTCTCTATTTACTATGAGCATGCTGATGAGATAATTATAATGATGATGATTATCATGACGATGATGATGCACAACGTTATTCAAGCTTCACACGATACATTAACACAATGACTGACATATGTTTTGACATTTTACAGGTTTCTTGATGCTGGCAGCTTGTATAAGGTTTGCTTCTTTGTTTCCAATGAAGAAGTTAAAATCTGCATTCTACATTAACATGGCGACATTTTGCTATATTTGGCTCATAGTAAGTATTGAGATACGTACAATGTTGAAATGTCACTACAGTACAGAACAGAATTTTATTATTCAATACGACTTGAACATAAACGTTCCTCGTCAATACACAAATATACCATAGGAACTCTGGAACAGGACCGCATATTGCGGCGCATAAATCAGAATCCGTACAGGCTTTACATATTGTTTGTCCGACCTTTGAATATCTTTTCATATTATGCGAACGGGTGGTCCTTAATTATCTAATCTCAATTTAATATAATCTGCTAATTTAAAAATCAGTCATATTTACGGTATATTGAAAAAAAGAAAAGGTTTTTTTTTATAATACCGTAAAATTTGACCAGTTTTAAAAGAGACAGATTGGGTTCAATTGATAATATATTTTTTGAGGCCATATATTCGGATAATACTAAAAGATATTTAGATGTAACAGAGACGTTTTTAATCAAAGCACAGAAGTCGCTGAATTTGTTTGGGTCTCAGAATGTCAGAAAGGTGAAGGTTGTGAGATTATAAACCAATTTGTTTTTGTATAGTGCCACCAATGCTTTCCAGTGTTTTAACTTTAGTAAATTGGCTATAAGACTAATTGAAACACTGATAGTCAATACAATGTTTATTTGACTTAAAAAAATGAGTTGCCTCAACTGGGATTTGAACTCCAGACCTCTCGATTCAGTAGCAGGCATGCAAACCCCTCGGCCACGGTGAAGTTATATGTTAATGGGCTGAAGAAAAACATATTCCAAATTTAATTAGGGTTTGTAACTATTATTTCGACGCTAAACCTGTTGTTTAACACAGATGTAAATAATCATGGAGCTTACTGTAAGCATGTATATCTATAAAGAATTAAACAATATTAGAAATCATCGACCATTCGGGAACTACTTTGCTTGAAAATTAATGCGCCTGTCATTTGACAATCTTTCTGCATTGATCTCCCCTGGATTTTTCGGCGTTAGTGTACATATAAAGGGAAGTAACCGCTTCAAAAAAGTGGACTACTTTAGGCATTTGCAATTAACAGCATTAGGCTCTGAAATTTCGCTACCATTATTTGTTAGGTCTGACGACCCAAACAAATAAAAACCGTTACACGATCGAAAATATGCGTCGCGTTCTCGAGTTCCTATGAAATATATACAGCATACATTAAATGCAGCGGAAGTGATAATACAAACATACAAATTTAACATTTGGTATTATCAGTCATATACATTATTTTCCTTTATGATACTAAATGATTTATTATAAAATATTGCTAATTTATTGAAAGTATTTGTATTACTTGTATTTAACAGATTTAGAGTTCATTTTGTTTTCATTCCTTTTACGCATTACTATTAATTCAGTTTTGCTTACACTTGCTTTTATTTTTCGATATCAGTTGATACTGTAATATATTTTATGTTGTACTTTGTTGTATTCTACAGGTGTTGGTATTCATTTTCGACCACATCTTCAAAAGAAGGAATGATGCAAATGTGTGTAGCACACTTATTTGTGGACTGAGAGAAATAAGTGAAAATGATGACAATGTTTTTATTTAATTTAAAAGTATTGATATGGGTGTAAAAAAAACTGGAGAGAAGAGTTATGATTTTTTTGTCAAAAAAAAAGCATTTTTAAAAATAATGATTTTTATAGTTTCAAGAAAAAAACAAGGATAGGAACGCAAAAAACAGATCCCATATTTCAGTTTTTAAAGTGCATGCAGTGTTTTTTTATTGAAATTTTAAAAAACCTATGAAAAAAAACCCCCCCCCATGGGGCTTATAAGTCGTACTGTAGTTTTCATATGCTACATACGCCTGGCATAAAGAAATCATCTAGTAACGTAGACTTGATAAGCTATGCCTTCCAACAGGATTGCCCCCGCCCCCTTGTCACTGATATTAACGACTGAAAAGTTATTTAAATTAAAATTATTTTTTGTCCAATAGGATTGTACTGTTTGAAATGAATCATAACATATTTACATTGGTTAATCAGGCGCGCCTGACCAATTTAATTTTGTAAATACGTACTAATAAACTTTAACATATACTTAAATATCATCTTAAAAGACCAAATCATTTGATAATCATAAACAAATGCATGTAAATATACATTAAATTTTGCGCGCGGTGTACCTGTTTTTTATGCGTTTGGTGCCTTACCGAGAATTAATGACGTTTCGTTATTTTACAGCTATTAGAAATTTATAGGCAGCACAATATGTATTTTTGTATGTATATATGTTATGCTCTTCAAATATTGGAGGAAAGAAAAGAATATAAGAGCCACGTCATGACAAAACCAACATAATATGTGTTTGCGACCAGCATGGATCCTGATCAGACTGCGCGGATGCGCAGGCTGGTCTGGATCCATGCTGGTCGCAGACGCACTATGTTGGTTTTGTCGTGACGCGGCTCATATCTTTATGATGGTTTTTATATTGAATGTTTTATCTGGTAGTACTGAAACACACCGGTGATATTAAAAAGCTGTATACATAACAATCAGTGGCCTGTCCATCTTTATTAACAATCCACAAAATAAAAGGAATTGTGAAGTAGCGCTTATGTAAACAAACAACAACAACAACATCCCCCACCAAAAAAAAAACAAAACAAAAAAAACAACAAAAAAAACCATCGTTTTAGTCGGTCTTTTTCACTGTGTGTAAAAGGTCTGCCATTGAACAAAATTTTATACTTTATGTTCGAATAATTATTATTTCTGTGCGAGGCAATAATCTTTGTAAATCTGCATATGTCAATTATGGTGCCGTATTGTTAACTGCATATATTAAATTTTAACAATGAACTTAATTGAAATCATATTGTGACAAATTGCAGCTATTATGATTCTTTTTGTCCAAGGATAGATATATTTATTATTCTTGATATAAAGCTATTCTAAGTTTTAGGGGTTTTCCCCTCATGTATATATTTATATAACGCGTTTTAATTTATTTGAGTAAAATGACAGAAAATACATTCCTTTACAGTCAGGCCTGTTCCGCTTTTCTACATTCCTATACATTTTGTCACTTTTATGGTATTTTACTACTGGTTGTATAATAGTTTTTATATATTTATATAACGTACTTATTTTAGATGTCACGTGATCTGTCAAACACTCCTACTGTGTGTGTCATACTACATTATCGATTTATTAATTTATTTCATTATTTACTAAATTTCCTGTTCATTTGACATACTCTAATAAATTTACCTTCACACGTTTGTCCTTATCAGGCGAACGTTAAGGACGTACCTATTTCACGACAGTGATTTCATTCAAAAAAAGGACGTTATTTCAAAAGTTTCGCCGTTACCGTAAACTCCCCAACAATGTAGTTCAAAGTATCCCAGTTTAGTGACAACGCGACGCAAGTCAAATATTTGTGAATTTATATTTCGTTTTTTTTTTTAATAAAATCGAAATTTTCGATTAAAAGTATTTATATCGTGCAGCTGTCATGACAACCGTCCGATAACGCTTGAATGATAACTATTTTTGATATCTGTTTATTAACTAATAAGAAAGCTGGAGCAAACGAAAAAAAAGTCACACCTTTTATAATAAACTTGAGTCTCCTGTGCATATATTGATATAGTTAATTTAATTATACTTTTATGAAGTTTAAAAAAATTAAAGTCGTTTAATGCATCATTTAATGCATGTTGTGCATCATTTTCGAGTTCATTTCCTTCAAAAAACCTTGCTGGTACTTACCGGTACTGGCCTCAGTTGAACACCCACTTATTATAATATATAAATATATACTGTATATATGTATAAAAAGAAAACATTTTTGCTCACTTTTTCGTTATTTTTATTATACCGCGTAACAAACAAAACTGGTTATAAGTAAATTCAGATTGGTATATTTGTGTGGTCCGATTAAACAATGCAGTGCAATGTATTTCTGTCCAACTAAATTTTTATTCAATTAAAAAAGTGACGGAATTTCCGATGGCAGTTTCTTTGAGATTATGTATATATGTCCCTAAAATGACTCCATTTTTCTGATAAAACAAACTTTACGCGACAACTTGTAAGCGTATATATACACGGGCATACCTTCATAAGGTAAATAGGTCGATACATGTCATAGTCTTCTATTTATAAACGCTAACCGTGTGCTTCATACAAGATGGATACATACATTTTTCTTTTCGTGATTTTAGGAATTTTAAATGTCACAGAAGGTAAATTGACGATATACTTTTCTTACCTGTAATAACGAAGGCCATTATTAGATATTTCTAAATGTAAATCGGTGATATCGGTGACATAGAAAGCTTGATAAAGAAAAGTCACGTTGCGTATAATAATCCAAGATGGTTACTTATACAGATTAACAGTTTTATAATATAATCTTGTATTGATCGACCGGTCGGTGTGCATTTTGTAAATTTAATACTTCTTGTAAACAAATTAGTTTCCGCTTATATATCTCATTATAATACATAAAATTGATTATATAAATATAATTTATCTGTCCAGTCATATCGGGGGTACCAATCGCGTGGTTGTATAGTAAATACTATAAGGTCGATAAACTTGAAACTATTTGTGTGATATGTAACCATGTTTTTTCTTCGTTGTAAATAAAGTTTGTTCAAAATAGGTGCAGCCATCATTCACCGTGTTTTCAATAGATATCAATTATATAACAAGATGTTATTCAACATTTAAAACACTTGTTATTACTAATTTCTTTGTTTTGTTTTCACAGTGACTGACTTAATTTAGAGTATATTGTACATATTGTATATATTGTGTATATTGTATTTATGAAACTTTTCCTACAAAATGTACAAATACAGAGATTGGATTATTAACCAATACCCCCTTTTAATCACGATTAAAATTAGTCGCGCGACGAGATATTGTGCTATTTTCGTGTCTGGGCAATAATAATAATAATAATAATAATAATAATAATAAAGACTTTATTTAACGAGAGAACTCATATGAACAAACATATCAATCTTCCTTGAGGCCCTTAACAAGGAACAATATAAATTTAACATAAGCAGACTATTAAAATACATAAACATAAAAACATACAGGAGATTATCAATTTGTATACATCAATGTGTAATAATACCTCAAGTATAAGGTTTTAAAATGTTTCACAGATGTAGCAGACTTAATATAATCAGGGAGGCCGTTCCAAATACAAGATCCAGAATAAACAAAAGACTTACGAAATTGTTCAGTATTTGAATATCATAGAGTTAAATATAAGATATTGTTTATATATCTGTGGCAATATCTCGTAAATCCCAGAACGAAAATATCTGGCACGTCAATATATTTTGACTAGATTAAAATGACTAATATTTCAGTCATGAGTAATGTAAACTTAAAGGTAGATCTATTACGTAAAAACTAAATGACACAGTCGTATCTTATATCGTAAAATATCTCATAATAAATTATTTACAGAAAAAACCAATTCAATAAACGTGATGTTATTTTAACTAAAATGTGACCTCGGGTTATTATCAGGTCAAGTGCATTGTTTCGGATGTCAGTTACTCGACAGTTACCTGTCAGCTTAATTACTTACTGTGAATGCACCCGGATTACTAACAAATATAGTACTCTCGTATATTAATGTTAATAATGCCCCCCGTAAATGTCAAACCCCTTTTTTGAGGGACCTAGACATCGGACCCACGGGATTAGGAGATCAATGCAGTACCCGCCGGGCCTACACCATTCTTCGCCAGTGTACCATGGCGTCAATAGTATTTAAAAATCATGTACTTTTACATAAATTTAATGAACAAGTCCGCTTTAACACCCTCGTATCTCCGTACAAGCAAGTCAATTGATTTATAATTGTAATTTAGAATCTAAAATCATTTCAATTCAATTCAAGACAAGAAAAGCGTTGACATGATCAACCGGTTGACAGTACTAAGAGCTTGAAAGTCTTAACATAGTAATATATACTATATCTTTTATTTCTCTATTACTAAAGAGCAAGTAACAAACTAATATATCAACAAAAATTGTAATATAGATACATTTGAATAATAAGGGGTCGTAATATTCGCATGATCAGCAAAACGTAGAAAGAAATATTTAGAGATAAAAAGTATGATAATTTTACATTAACACCACAGTTGCTTAAATTACCTACGACACGATATAATGAAATTTGTTCTTAAACATACTTCAAGTGCATTGTAATTTATGAACAGCGACGTAATATTTCATAAAATACTGACAATATAGTACAAAATTTCTGATATAATAAATTTAGTTATGGTGTTATGCTCCTGCATAATTCCTGCTATAATAAGTTTAGTTTTTGTTTTCTGCTCCGGTATAATTTCTGCTATAATAAGTTTAGTTTTTGTTTTCTGCTCTGGTATAATTTCTGCTATAATAAGTTTAGTTATGGTTTTATGCTCATAGCGTTCATTTAAACAGTGCATGTTTTTAGTGAAGACGCTCAATAGCCCGAGTGATGTAATGATGCGCATCCGAACGACAAACAGTGATTTTATCAAGCGATAAAATCACCGATTTGGATATATTATTTCGATCACAGACTTTCGATTTTTGGAAAAATACGGGTCGTGTTAGATTAAGAATAAGTTGTCATCAAGGACGTCTCGGCAAGAGAACCATATTGAATGTAAGATTCTTTTAGCACATGAAATTATAAAGCCGGTAAATCCAGAAAAAAGACAGAATTACGGTTAAAGTATAGTTTGAATCACATTCTAGTTATTCAGATAATTTTAATGAGCTGATTCTGTTCGTGCCTTATTTTGTCTTATCGTCTGCTCATGAAATGACCGGAATTATGGGACGCTTCCTGTATTTAGGCTAGACACCTCTAAATTTGGGTTTAGGGAGACTCGTTGTGAAATACTAGTAATTGCGTACGGTTATATTATTTTAAAAACAGTCGATGCCACGTGATATTCCATGTAACAGAGCTACCCAGATGTAATATCCATCATAAGCTATTTACAAAAGTTAGGGTATTTCAAAGGAGAAGTTATACACAGTAAGTCTGAATCATATCCGTTTAGTAGGCGTGAATACACAATTTGTTGGTTGATATATTTTGTTTCATGCGTTATTTTTTTTTCTATGCTTGTGATTATATATGTCATATAATATGACCCTTGATTGGTGAAATAAATAAAATTATCTGGAATTATCAAGTGATTCTAAATTTAGAACTTCCATTGCATTTCGGGTTTGTAATCCTTATTAATTTCGAGGTATTTTGTTCAGGGTAAACCTGTTGTTTAAAATTGAAGTAAATATTTTAGCGAAAATCCTCTCGCCCAAACAGTCCGACATGTAGAATCTATATATTCCACTACTCGGTTTGTGTAGTATTCGGTAATAAATAGTATTTTCATTGATAAAGTCATATTCATCCGCGTAATTTGTGATTGTGCATTTATTGACAATTCTATAAGCCAACGCTATTGTTTAACTTTAAATGCGTTGTAATTTGTTGGATACTTGTAACAAATAAAATATTTCTTTCTTTTAAATCGCTAGTTTTAAGCTGTTTTGAGAACTACTTGTTGTTAGGTTTGTCGTAAACTTCTGTGTCAGAGATTGAATGTCCGCTTTGTATTTAGTTATTTTCGATCAGAAAATACAATAAAACAATATTAGAAATCTTCGACCATTCGGGAATTACTTTGCTTGAAAATTGATGCGCCTGTCTTTGACTATCTTTACGCAGTGATCTCCCCTGAATTTTTCGGCTTTAGTGTACATACAAAGGGGAAGTAACCGCTTCAAAAAAGTGGACTACTTTCGGCATTTGCAATTAACAACATTAGACTCTGAAATTTCGCTACCATTATTTGTTTGGTCTGACGACCCAAACAAATAAAAACGAAGAGCGCGATTAATTGACGGATAAGATCATTTCATTTGAATTTGCATTGCGAAATTCTCCAGTTCGCTATTCATTGTAACATATCGCGACATTTCATTTTTGATAATCAAACACCCTCATACCAATCGGAATGATCGGCTATTATGACCGACGAAATGCCCGAGAATTGCCCTTTTACAAAATCTGATTTCATTCCATAAGGGGCGTCGCGCGTCGGCGTTGACGCCAATAACATTATCAAGCGACATCATTTTAATAAACAGTGCAGAGATATAAATCTCACTACAAACAAATCCAATAACAGAATGTGAGCGGCAGAAATTCCTAATGACACCAAATTGACAGTAGATAAATATGTAAACATGAAAACAATAAAATCACATGTTCACATCTCATGTTTTTCTAAGAACATCTAAAGTTTCCCGTGAGCTTGTTAAACTTAAACTGAATGATGAATCACAGATATTTGTTTACAATATGTCATGGAATTATCACCTTAAAATGTAGATCAAGGACTACATCTCAAGATAATTAAATCTTAAAGGGACTTTACTGAGGTTTAAAAGCCTAAAATCATAACTTTTGAATTTCTTACATAAATGAGATGGGGCACTTTAAAGTGAAATATATGCAAAGATAGTTAAGAAATATACTTTGAACTAAATTGAAAATCGTATTTTCATGCCCTGTTTAGCCCGTTTTGAGTGAAAAGCGTTTAAACGCTTTTCAATTTGGGTCATTTTTTTACAATTTGAATAATTATTCTGGAAAAACGAAGTGCGCGATTGATCTGAAATTTTGCACAAAGATTAGTGGTCTAAACCTACATCAAATGGTACATTTATCTGGAAAAAATATTTTCAGTCCCATCATGTCAAAAAACCTCAGTGGAGCCCCTTTAAAGACAACTTGACCCCAACGGAGAACAAGAGCCATTTGGAAATATCTAGATCCGGGGCCGGGGGCATCTAGATCTGGTTGATTTTTGACTTGAGAACACCCGATGCGTTCTTGAAAGCACCAAAATTTAAGAGACAAATTTGCACTTAAGACATATTATTCTCAGAAATAATAATAATAATAATAATAATAATAATAATAATAATAATAATAATAACCCCCCTAAAAAAACACAGACACAAATAACTCAACAAAAAACAACATAAACAACAATAAAATAACATTTTCATCTTTAATTTGTGTTATCAAGCTTTGTCTGAACATGTTAAGAGTTAAACTTTAACTGAATGACAAATATTTGTTTACATTGACTACTGCCCGTTTCCTAGAAAGGGTGACAACCCAGATTAGTGGCAATGTCCAAATGTCGTATTTTATTGCATTCTTCGGTCATTATGCACACCTTCGGGCCATTTTCACATAATGGTGCGCAGCAACCAAGTATTAACCTATAAATAGAGAAGTTACATCAACTATATTCCAAGTTATAAATTTGATACTATTTTAACTATATGTTTCAGGTAAAAAAATGTTGCGGTGTATAGAGTGCGAGCACATTAACTGGAACAGGACATACAACTTTGAAGGTGTACAGAACATATATCAGCTTCTACAGAGCAAATATAATCCGGCATGTGCCCAGTTAAACCCACGTGATCAGTAAGTTACTGGATTTTTAAACAAATATCTTAAAAAGATCAATATAAACAACAACAACAGTAAACAAACACCAAAACACCCCCGAAAAAAATCTACAACAACCCCTACCATTTCTTTGATTTCTTCAAATTCTATCCAGGACCTTTTCGTGGTATTTTTAATACTATTCAAAATTCTATGGTATTATAAATGCATCAATCATGATTTTGATAAATCAATATCTAGGCTAAAACCAGCATAGCTATTTTGCGTGTTAGTTAACATCAACAAAAGTGCCCGTGTCCGTTACCCAAAATATTTTCTCTCGTGGACTGTAATAGAAAATGACCAGTCAACATTCAACATGCCTAATATTTACATTTTCAAATAAAGACATTTAATTAATCCTTCTCCTTGTTCACTCGACGATGTTTCATCAATTTCTAAAAAAATTACCCGCAAAATAATTGTTCACATTGAACATTCATGTTGAATATTTGAGTGTTTGAAAAATCAAGAAGCGCAGGGGTGGAAAATAAGGTATAGGCGACAACAATTCTTTATTCCGTGTAGGCTGCAACAGGTCTCGTATGTAAGTTAAAGGAATATAATAAAGAATTACCTGAAAAAACACGTTCGAAGCGAGGTGTTTAGGCCGCCATATTATCTGTACGCGTTACCATAAAAATCACGTGATCCCCTACCATGAAAGTGGTATAAATTTAGTCAACAATTCCTAGCATTAAATTACTATTTTGTGCCGAAACGATGTGATTGGTTATACATGTATATTAATGAAATAAGCAAGTGCTGTACATGTGTGGCAGCTGTAAATTCACTTAAGTGTTGTTCTATTTTTCTGGTCCTTTGGGATAATTGTAGTCTGGGTACCAGTCTGTCGATTTTTTATGTGCTTCTGTTCGGCAAATCGACAGTTAGATACATTATGATGAAAATTGAACACTTTATATTGTAATTGTTAAAAATGTTGATATCATCATTTTTGGGTATCATTACGAGTTAATCTATAATTACTATGATTAATATGAGTGTCAGTCTGATGAATGAATGAAAATATCGAACCTTATATACCTTATGATATATTTCAACAAACAGATTTTAATTTTTCTACAAATCTAAAATTATTTTCTTTGTTATTGTTAAATTAGAAGGCCGTACTGAAAATAAGTATACTTCATAATGTGTAAACTTGTATGCTACCTTCTATAAACAAAGATTTTTTAAAATATTATTATTATTATTATACACGGTGATATAGAAAACCGATATTTTACGACCCATACAATGCAAATTAGAACCTTTATTTTCAGGAATATGTATAATCAAAATTATCAGAATCAGCAAAATCAGCAAAATCAGCAACCACTTCCAAATCAGCCTGGCAATAATTTCTACCAGAATAGATACGATGTAAGGGAGACAATTTGCCCAGTTGATGCTGAAACAAATCGGTGTAATTATGTGTATGGGATAGCTACAGTCTATCTTCAAAGTTACAAAGCAACAAGTGAGTATAATGTAATTTACTTTACTACCATAATTATTTGAAATGGACTTGTCCATCTTTCAATCTGGACAAAAATATTATCATATTTTTGGAAGATTCCAAAATACGTACATACTGAATAGCTGGCAGTGCAGTCATGGTTGACTAATTGTCTGAACTGGTCGCATACGACTGACTTATGTTTGCACTGGTCACATACGACTTATGTCTGCACTGCTGGTCGCATACGATTTATGTCTGCACTGGTCGCATACGACTTATGTCTGCATTGGTCGCATACGACTTAGTCTGCACTGGTCGCATACGACTTATGTCTGCACTGGTCGCATACGACTTATGTCTGCACTGGTCGCATACGACTTATGTCTGAACTGGTCGCATACGACTGACTTATGTTTGCACTGGTTGCATACGACTTATGTCTGCACTGGTCGCATACGAGTTATGCCTGCACTGGTCGCATACGACTTATGTCTGCACTGGTCGCATACGACTTATTGTCTGCACTGGTGAAAATATTGTCTGCACTGGTCGAGTTATTGTCTGCACTGGTCGAGTTATTGTCTGCACTGGTGAAAATATTGTCTGCAATGGTCGAGTTATTGTCTGCACTGGTCGCATATGTTTAATATGTTAAATATTATGATATATCAATTAAATATGGCCGACAGAGTAGTTTGTTTTTCATAACTCTGCTCGAATGTTAAATAAAAACGGGTTTATTGCGTCAGAATTTTCTAAGATATGAAGCAAAAGTTAAATAAATGGACATATTTGTGCTTGGATAATGATTTGTTAGTAACTGGATTATTTTAAGTGGTTAAAATGGAGTATAATCACAACGTCTCTGTGACAACAAAGAACAGGTTTGAAATTTTACATGAGCGGGAAAACGGAACAATGCCAGAAAATCAAAATATGGATATAAGTAGACAAGATTTTGTTAACAGCTCAATTGACAATAAGCTAATTTACATGTTCGATGAATTGAGAAATATTAGACATGATCAAACAGTATGTAGTCAAAATATGATGAAATTTGAAAATCGCTCACGGGCGTCCATGAAACACTTGGCAAAGTAGTCAAAACAACAAACAGGCAATCTGACTTTTTGAAATCTCTTGCATATAGATCCATTGATATTGAAGCGAGATCCCGCAGAAATAACTTGATTTTCAGAGGGATTGCTGAGAACAAAGGCGAAAATTGCTTTGCAATTGTGCGTGACTTCCTTGATAATCACCTAGATATTGACCCAAAACAAATATATATCGCACGGGCTCACAGACTTGGTCAAAGATATCAAAGGCAGCAAATCCAAAGACGCCCGATTATCGTTAATTTTAGGGATTTCTGTGACACTGAACTTATTATGAGTCGTGCAAGAATGCTTAAAGGAAAACCGTTTTCAATTGATTATGATTTGCCGCGCGAAATCCAGGAAGCTCGATCTCGACTTTGGCCCAAATATAAGGCATTGAAAAACAGTGCACCTCAATCCAAAGTGCAGATAGTTTACCCAGCAAAACTTATTCAAGATGGAAAGCTGATTGAGGATGAATTGCCTGAATGGTCTAAATATATGCAACTTAGTAGGCTCTCAAGTTTAGATCATGTGATTTTTACCGACGGTACCAATCAGGAGCCAGTTAACATACATGCAGCCAGGGAAATGGAACATTCGCTAGTTAATGAAAATGTCAGTTACAAGTCGGGGGTACATGGGCCAGTTAGTAACAATTGCTATCAAAATAACTCACCTACTTATTATCAGTCTAAACTTATTCAAATAGGTATTAGAGGTACATTTTAAATATCATTAGATCTATGTATACTTCTGTTAAGTCAAGAGTTAAGTATAACAATGAAGTTAGCAATAGTTTTGAATGTACTTTGGGGGTTAGACAGGGTGAATGTTTATCACCATTTTTGTTTTCAATGTTTATAAATGACATCGAAGATACGTATGTTAAGAACGGCTTCGATGGTATAGAAGTTAACATGTTTAAAATGTTTTTGATACTATATGCAGATGACATTGTTATTTTTGCAAACAATCATAGGGACCTGCAATCAAGTTTAGATATGTTATACGTGTATTGTAATAAATGGAAATTGAGAGTTAACACAGCTAAAACAAAGGTTATGATATTTAAAAAAGGTGGTCGTTTACAAGAAAATTTAATTTTTTATTTTAATGATAGCATAGTTGAAATTGTTAATAAATTTTCATATCTTGGAATTGTTTTAACTACAGATGGGTCTTTTATGGAAGCTCAAGATATTTTAGCGGGTCAAGCACTTAAGGCTATTTATAAGATGGATAAGTACTTATATAAATTTACTGATATATCTGTTAAACATAAAGTAGAATTATTTGATAAACTTATACTACCTATTTTAAATTATGGAAGTGAAATTTGGGGGTTTAATCAAGGCAAATCTGTCGAACGTATTCATATGCATTTCTGTAAACGTATATTGGGAGTTAAAAAGAATACACCGAATGATTTTATTTATGGGGAGTTGGGAAGAATGCCTCTGCAAAATATGCGATATTATAATATAATAAAGTTCTGGATCAAGTTGTTACTATCAGATGAAAACAAATATAGTAGAAAAATATATTTATTACTTAAACAAGATATCACAGATAATCCTTCCAGAAAAAATGGTGCTCATTTTTAAGAGATTTATTATGTATACTTGGTTTTCATGAAGTTTGGCTTTTCCAAACTATTGGTGACCCTAAATTGTTCTTAATAAACGTTAAGCAAAGACTTAAAGATCAGTTTTTACAAAATTGGTCTGGTAGATTAAATGACTCTAGCAGAGCAATCTTATACAGGTATATATCAAACCATAGATTTCAACCATATCTTAATTATTTAAGTGTAAGAAAATTTCGTGTATGTATGTCTCGCCTGCGAGTTTGCTCGCATAGGCTTTTTATTGAAACAGGTCGGTGGACTAGACCTGTAAGTACACCTATAAGTGAAAGGAAATGTATTTTTTGTGACAAGTTAGAAGATGAATATCATTTTGTTCTGGAATGTACTTTATACAGTGATTTAAGGAAACTTTTTATATCAAATTATTATGTCAATCGCCCAAATATGCAAAAATTTATTGAATTAATGAATTCAGAAAATAGACAAATTATGAAAAATCTAAGTATGTACATTGAAAAAGCTTTTGCATTAAGAGCAAGTGAGTTATATATTAATAATAATATGTTATTATAATTATAAGCCATATTTAAAATTATTTTATTTGTAAGTACATGTTATATGGTACTTATTCTTATCCTAGTATAATAGTCATGCATATGGTTATATATAGGTATTTCTTACTAAAAGAATAAAAATGTATCCACGTGTCACATTTTGTTACTTTCGTTTCGAACTAAATGTGACCAATGTGGAAAATAGTATGACTTTTTGTCATTATGTACAGAATACACCCATAAACAGTTTCAATATGAACTACGCAAACAACTGAGGTATATCGAATGAATAAAACACAGTTGTTTCCCTTATCTTCGACAATCAAATTAATCCGATTTTAAAATTTATTACACCAATGAAAGCTTTGGATCTTAGCTTCATCACAGTATATACTTTAACATATTTTTGGCACAATTAACTAAAACCTACCGTATGTCAGATCATTTTACATACGATTTATACAGTGAGATATACAACCGGTTATCTACTGTGGTCTGCTATTTTGGAAAGTGCTTGTAGGTGTATTTCGAATCCGTGAGAAAATAATTGTTGTACCCTTGTTTGTTTACTTAAAATATTTATAAATTTGATACTTGTACTTGCGATGCATGTACCTTGTCGCCATATTTGTATATATGTATATGTTTTACCACATGGGTCTAAGACCTTCTGGATGAATTATGAATAAACTTGTAAACTTGTATGTTGTCGCCAATATGATAAGAGTTTTACTATTATTCTAGGACTGTTATCTACACAAAGAATTTTTTCATGTTATAACCCATGTTTCTGTTTCTGTTCTGTTATACTTCTCTTTATAATATTTTTTTTTTACTTTAAAAGCTAAATATTAGGAGAAACAATCTACTTAACTCACGAATTCTTATGAAAATCTTTTGGATTTGTGTTACTTCCTTTTGTAGAAAGAAGCATGCTTTCCATTTTCGCGATTTTTTTTTTACTTGCATGACCATGTCCTAGTGATGGAAAACTATTTTCTATAGGGCTAGGCTAAAATGTTTTAGGTCATGGTCGTCGATATTTAAAAGATCTTATAGCATTAATCAATAAATTCAATACTTGTGTAATTGTTTATTTGTGTATATTTTTTTCAGTGACCCTTGAGATGCATGTCAGGAATTGTATTGACGCAATTGATGTTAAAGATGTATGTTACCGCAGAGACACGAATTACGGGTACTTTGAGGTTAAACACTTCTTTCAGGACAGGCTACAGTTTTTGGGAAGCGTTTCTGTTCAACGTTTTATTGGCGATCAGTGTTACTGTAACAGTGATTTGTGTTATCCAAATATCAGCTCCAGTCCCAGTTTGGTTGCCTCAGCTTCGAGCCTCGTTTTGGCAGTTCTTACCTTTATTTTATTTAAATGAATTCCACTTTGACTGATCTACGTTCCAATTTCCCAATCTTTAATGACTAAATATGAATAGGCTTATCGCCTTTAAAGGTAGACTAGATTGTATGTGTGTATGTATGTATGTTTGTTGTTATATAATGTAAGTAAAAGTAGACTTGATCGCCTATCATCGTAAAATTCCGTTTTATATTCGGAATAAGTGAATTTAGTTCTGAATTGTATTATTATATAAAACAAGTCATATTATTTCGATGAAAAACACGATTTTTTACTATTTGTGACGGAATACACGTCACTTTGACGGATGTTACTCGACATATTCCGAAGTCTTTTAATAAATAATATTATAATTACCCTTACCAAAGAACTGGGTACGTGTATTTACTTTCATAATGCAAGGTTATATCTCTCTAAGAATACCATTTTTTAACAACATATGTAAAACGTTTTTGAATTTTTTATATATTTTAAAATGCTATTAGGTTTTTAAGTTTTTTTTGCAGGTGCATTTGTGTATTCATTTTGTACATTTAGTAAATTGTGGCAGGTGATTTACGGTATTCCATTTGTAAAATAAGTATTTTGTTGCAAGTGATTTTGCAGTATTCCTTTCGATATATAAGTAAGTTGTCACTTTTCGTTTCTCGGGATGAGTAAATAAATGCTCGTAAAATTCGGAATTCCTCCTAAAATAAGTAAATTGTCGCAGGTGCAATTGTAGCATATATAACGTTAAATTTCATTTTTTGTTTAGACATTATAAGATTTTTTACTTCACTTTTACAATGTATTATGCTTTGAAAATTGTAAAACGATATTATACAGTTGTTATTATTATCATGTTTATCAGAACAAAAGTATTTTATCGTATATGCACAATAGGTATTTTAACGTATACATTCACTAGGTATCTTATCGTATATGTTAAATATGTATCTTATCGTATATGTACAATAAGTATCTTATTATGTACAAAAGTATTTTACCGTATTGTACAATAAGTATGTAATTGTTTATGTACAGAGTGTTATTGTGTATATGTACTTTTGTACATAGTGTCATCGCATATATATATATGTACATAGTGCATTATCAGCATTTATCATTGTGCCATGTGAATTAACTGAGTACACAAGTGTTAGTTATTTATAGTCTGATTTATATGAATGAAGAATGAATACACTCAAAATTGTTTTTTGAATACGCTGATTGCGAAGCATTGAAAACTTAAATTACACAAAATAATGAGGAATGAGCATTTTGTTTTAATCTGTTTTTTTAACAAGTATGTATATTTGGAATTTAAATCCACATAAAGATCCATAAGTAAAAAAATAAAGCAAAAACACACACAAGTAGTACATGACAATTTGAATGTGTATATGAATATGTGAACTCTTTGTCATGTTTTAAGATATAGATTTTGTTTTATCATTTTAGAAAATATGTACTTATTATACATTTGATATTTGTATACAAGTACTGATGTACAAAATGATTTTTTTGTCTTACTTTTGTCTTACTTTTGTCTTATCAATACAGTATATTAGAAAATGTGTACTTTTTATCATGTCATTACATTGATTTCTGTTGATAAAGTGCATGCCTGATAAACCTAGCTTTATCAGTCACCCCAAGCTTTATCAGACACCTCATCAAAATATGCAAAATTTGCGAAATGAAATAAAAAGAATGGAATATATTTTCCTGCTACTGGGTTGGAAATATTTAACTGATAAACTTTGAATCAAATAGAAATTTTGAATATGAACGCGTCACTTACAATTAACTAAAAACATTCGGGACTATTTCTTTTTGATTTGGCATTTCACATATTATTGCGCGCCGTCTGAACACGAGAGGTTCTGGATAGGGTTTTGCTTCAATTAAAATAAAAGAAATCAAACAACAATTGAAATTGAAAACATGATAAATAGAATACCAAACAAGTGTCTAATATTATAAAATTTATCAGGCTCGGCACGAAAAAAAATGAAGAGCTCGGCACAGCCTCGCCCTTCATTTTTTTTCTTAGCCTTGCCTGATAAATTTTATAATATCAGACACTAGCATGGTATTCTCTATTTATACGTTTGATTGTACTAAAATGAATTTTATGTCTAACAGAAAAACTGCTTCTAAGTAACATATGATATTGATATGTTTTTTTATGTTTTAATGATCACCATTTTTAAACATTTTAGGTTGAAAAAAAGATATGATATAATTTTAACAATCTGGCCAATATTTAAGATTTTAATGTCTTGATCTCATTGACTTTTTTAAATCAGTTAACATATTGTATAGATGAGAGCACTTTTTTATATCATAGTGAGAAAAAAAGCAAAGTAATATTGTAGGCTGCTTTGAGCGTTGTCTGCTCTGAGCATCGTCAGCTCTTAGCGTCGTCTGCTTTGAGCGTCGTTTGCTCTGAGCGTCGCCTGGATTAAGCGTCATCTACTTTGAACGTCGTCTGCTTTAAGCGTCGTGTGCTTTAAGCGTCGTCTGCTTTAAGCGCCGTTTAGTTTGAGCGTCGTCTGCTTTAAGGGTCGTCTGCTTTGAGCGTCGTCTGCTCTTAGCGTCTTCTGCTTGAGCGTCGTCTGCTTTGAGCATCTTTGTCACAAAATATTCTGAAATGCTCCATCAGCCATTGTTCAGCAGAATCTAAATAATAAGCTTTATAAATGCTTTTTTTAAAAGATTGAAAAAAGGTTAAACTTGGTGACACTTGATGTAAGTAAATGATGTACTTGAACACCAACTGAACGTAATTGAGCCGCGCCAAAACCAACATTGTGCGTTTGCGACCAGCATGGATCCAGACCAGCCTGCGCAAATCAGGATCCATGCTGGTCGCAAACGCACTATGTTGTTTTTGTCATGGCGCGGCTCAATTATTATATCATTTTAATATAACTGAATTGTTTTGGCATATCTAGATTTATATATTTTGTTATATATTGTGCATTCTTTTAGCTAGTCTATTTTCATTTTTATGCTTTATATGCCTTTATTATCTTTATTTTATGCCTTTATAAAGGGCCCAATTACACGCACATCATGAATTGAATTTTTTTTTATTAAGAATCTTTTTATTGTTTTTATCTTAAATGTCCTGTATTGCATATTTGTTTTACTAAATACCTGTTGTACTAATTATCTGCTAATATTTGTTGATTTCGAGTTCAAAGTATATTTGAGTGAACTTGTATGTACATGTATTTGAAAGATTGCCGGAATTCAGTATGCTATTAACCGGCCATAACGGATAATTGGTAGGGTGTTTTGCTTGGCGCCAACTTTTCGTCTATATCGTCCGGTAGAACGGTTATCTGAGGTAGAGTGAATCCTTTGAACAATATAATAACCGAAACGTTATTTACAACGGTAAGAATATCAACGTTTTCAATTTTTGCCTTCATTTGATTACTTATTTCCCGCTAGACAAAAAATAACTACTTCCGGGAATGACTTCCGGTTACAACTCATTTTTTTCCGATAAAAGATCTTGCTCTACTAAAAGATTTTCTTAAAACTTACATTTATGTAAATTTTGTCATGATGCCTGACTTCAGACAAACACATGCAAATAAATCGGACAGGACTTTAGTATATTTAGTTTGTTTTGATTTCCTTTTTAGATCTTATTTCATTTTTAAGGTATGAGTCATTATAAAGTTTGTATTAAAGAAGTTAATTGAAGGTTAATTGAAGGGTACAGCTAGTTCTGAGAAATTAAGGAACATTTTACATCATTACTGAATGTTTTCTGTTTTAGGATCATTTTAAAGACTACACAATAAATTCGAAAAAAGTTCCCCACCGTGTATTACCCGCACTATTGGATGCAGGATAGATATCATTTGTGCAAACTATCAATGTATATTCTGACACCACTGACAGCATTGACTTAAAAATTAAAAAATAAACAACTGAAAAACAACAACAACAACAACATGTTGTGAAGTATCAGCTAATATTATCATAAACAAAAACCTTACCTTCTTACGAAAACTGATTACGAATTAAGATTAATGTGTAATGTCGCCGTACACAATATGTAATGTGCTTCTTGTATATAGTTCTATCTTTATTCTAAATTTGCATGATTTAAATGATGACATTTGTAAAGTGTCGGAGAAAAAAAAGTGACAAATTTTTATTTCATGCAAATTTTTTGCATTGTTATACATATCTAATCATGTAATTTCCACGTCAATTTGTTGTATTTTTATTGTATCATTTTTGTATCTTTTTTGTTATTTTTTATTATAAAAGTTTCTGATCAATTTAAATGTGTAATCTATAAACAGCAATATATGTTTTGTTTTTTATTGGTATATATTTTGTAATTTGTGAAACAGCACTGTTTGTTTCGAGTGTATTTTAGATTTATGCATGACTGTATATACCTTTTCAGGGACATAGAATCAAATTAAGTCGTTCATAAGATAGATGTTTTTATTTAATAAAATTGAATACAGTCTAAACATCTTTTATTGACTGTAAGATAGTATCTTGAAATTGCAATTAAAACAGTGTAAGCGATGTTATAAGTTGAAAATGGTAAGCAACAGTAACGTATTTATGTATACAAACTTTTATTGAAAAAAGTCAAATAGATTATACTGATAATTTGATATGACGAGTAATTAATGTAATATAGCGTAGTGATAATGAGATTGATAATTATGATTAGTCAATGTATACAATATGATATGTAAATTATATATTTCGTCCATACATTAAAACATGCTCTAAAGTTACATAATTATGTTCTTGTTAGTGCCGTGGAGTTTTTATGCCCCCACAATGTGGGAGCATATAGCGTTGCACTTGTCCGTCCGTCCGTCCGTCAGTCAGTCCGTCCGTCCGTACGTCCCGAAATCTTGTGAAAGCAACTCCTCTTAAACCGGATGGCAGATTTTGCTTAAACTTACAGGGATGAACAACCTTAATGTGTAGATGGTAGTAAAGGAAGGAATTTTCACTGCGAGCAAATTTTACAGAATTATGGCCCTTTGTTGATTTTTTCACTAGATACTATGTAGAAATTTTGTGAACGCAACTCCTCTTAAACCGGATGGCAGATTTTGCTTAAACTTCCAGGGATGAACAACCTTAATGTGTAGATGGTAGTAAAGAAAGGAATTTTTGCTGCTACCAAATTTTACAGAATTATGGCCCTTTGTTGATTTTTTCACTATATACTATGTAGAAATTTTTTGAATGCAACTCCTCTTAAACCGGATGGCAGATTTTGCTTAAACTTCCAGGGATGAACAACATTAATGTGTAGATGGCAGTAAAGGAAGCAATTTTTGCTGCAACCAAATTTAACAGAATTATTGCCCTTTGTTGATTTTATCATTATATACTATGTAGAAATTTTGTGAACGCAACTCCTCTTAAACCGGAAGGCAGATTTTGCTTAAACTGCCAGGGATTAACAACCTTAATGTGTAGATGGTAGTAAAGGAAGGAATTTTTGCTGCCACCAAATTTAACAGAATTATGGCCCTTTGTTGATTTTTAGTTTTCATCTTGTAGCACATGTAGTCCAAAAAATATTTGACCTAGAGTCATAAGATTGACAGAACAGTGGCGTGTGGGGGCATCCGTGTCCTATGGACACATTTCTAGTTGGTATTGGCAGTGGGTGTGAAATCGGAACTGGAAGTTTCAACATGAGTGACCGTAATTAAAGTTGCAGACTAGAATGTTAGAGTTAAATATTATACAATTATTGACTAGTGAGCCATTGAATATGATGTGATATTCACCGGCAGATGACATATTGACCGAGGCGATAGCCGAGGTCAATATGACTTTCTGCCGGTGAATATCACATCATATTCAATGGCTCACTAGTCAATAATTGTTTTATTATATGAATAGGCTAAGAAATAAAAAAAATCACAAAAACTACAACCTTATATACATGTACAAATTTTACCTCGTTGAAGCGCGGGAAAAAAGACGCACGTGTTAGGCGTGCAACGACTTCGCGAACGCTGCGTTAAGTTTATACTCATCATTGCGGTGTAGCCTTTAAGTAAAATGGTAAAGCATTGATATTTTAATCGAGAAATATGCCATAAAAAACAAAAAGCAACAATTATTGTTAAGTATTTAACAGTCTACGGTGTATGATCATTGAATATGAGTCTCAATCTATTTTTAGACTGGGAAAATCCAATTCAGCCAGTGAATATGATACTACACCCAGTAAATATGATTTTATAAAAAGTTCTGTTGACTACTGTTTGGACCAATGAGATTGCAGCTATATTTAGATCATATAATAATCCAAATTATATACACGTACATCCATTTTTATTATAGCAACTTACAACTAAAGTTTATGAGAGAATTTTCATCACCCATAGTCATCCCCCACTACCTTTTCCGTTAGCTTATTTTCGCAATCACGAGTCCCAAATCCTTGATGATGTATTCGTTACCTTTGACGATAGGGTTCACATTATTCCACATGCCACTCGTTCTCATTACACTCGTCATTAACTTTGTCCTAATGTAATTCGTTCTTAAACGCTGTTCTTATAGCACTTATTCTAAAATTCTGTTTTTATGTCCCTTAATTCTTAAACTCTAATATCACTCCTGCTTAAATTCTGTTTTAATGTTAATCGTTCTCTAACTCTAAAGTGAATTGTCCTCAAACCCTTTTATGTCATTCATTCTTGAAATCTCTTTTAATAACGTGCGTCCTAATATTCCGCCCTAACGTCATTTGTCCATGATGATTCTCGTACTAAATCCTTAGAGACATTGTTCTATTGGTAGTTGTCCTAAAACTGTTGTATACGTAGATAAATAATCATATACTTATTATTGTGCTGTTTATTATCCAGACAACATTAGGTACGCATTTGACTAAATTCCTGTTCAACTATAAAATATCACACTATAAAAGAAAACATAACTTTAACATTGGTTATGTTATGTATGGTTTTACGACACACCAACACAATTTAGGTCATATGGCACCGAAACATGAAAGATGGCTTTGGCTAACCCCGGGTGTTACAAACGGGTCAATATCACCTAACCTGCTTGAGCTAAGAAATGCATAGACTTCAGTCATTCGAACCCATTGAGTAACCTCTTACAATAATCACGCAGGGATGAACGGTGGCTTTAATTATGATGCACCAACCATTTGAGGCCAGGCAAGCTCTCAGCTACAAGGGGGTAGCATTAACATTAATATGTAAGTTCGCATTTATACACATACACTTCTACAGTCGTGTGTTTCATATAGTTCATCAATGTAAGAAAGAAATGTACCAATTTATTCTAAGGAAAGTGAATTAACTATGAAAATTTGACCCCATAAGAACAGATGAATTATAATTGAAGAAAATAGTACAACATGTATATGCAGGAACGTTTTGTCACTAAATAAAAATGATTTAGTGTCACCCTACCAATGATTTTTACAACATAAATTCCTTCTATTGTTCTACTTTACAATGATAAATGAATACTAATTGTCTGTTGAGCAAAGATTACGGTTATTCATAAATCACAAAATGCCTTTTTAATGGTTATTTATGTCGGAAGAGCTATTTTTTTTATAAATTCGATGCCGAGATGATTATTGGAAAGCGGCAAGGTGTTCTGAATGTTGTACGAGTTAACGGGAGTTTATTTGAATGGAAATGTAAAGCAGATGTTTCTATTCTTGTATATATAATATCGACCAACCTATGTACGATATTTATTATATTATGCAAGTACATGCATTATTTATTTTCAGATTTTTTTGAGGTCACTTTTTCTATACTTTTTAAACAGACATATATAAATGATTTGTTTTTTCTTGTGGGTTTTACTATTCTCGGGAAATTTTTTAAAAAATTATTCAAGGGTAAAAAAAATATTTCTATATTATTGCGTATAATTCTACTATGCGTTATGATTGCAGATTTCTTAAAATGTTTACAATATTCTATAATGGTAATGTTGTCACAGTTTATACCTTATACAGCAGCTGAATGTTTTATCCTTTTTTCATTTGTTATTTTCTATTCTACATGTAAATATCTTTTCAAGATTAAATTGGTAAATGAATTATCTAATCCACCACAGTTCTACCCAGACTTTTATAGAGAGGCATATTCCCGAATTTTTGTGTCGCCTCTACGGAGTAGTGGCGACATATAGGGATCACTTCTCCGTCGTCTGTCTGTCCGTCTGTCTGTCCGTCTGTCCATCACAAAACTTGTCCGGACTACTCCTCATAAACTACTGGTGCAATTTCATCCAAACTTTTACAGGAATGATCAGTACCAAGTCTAGTTGTGCATATTGTCAGCATTTTTCGGTTCAATGATTTTTGGCCAGAGTTAATGGCCCTTTTAATAATTTTTAATTTTAAAGTTTTGTCCGGACTACTTCCTCTTATACCACTAAAAGCAATTTTCAATGAAACTTTACATGGTTTGATCTGTAGCTCAAGTCCTTGCGCATATTGCAAGGGTTTTTCTGGTTGAATGATTTTTTGGCCGAGTTATGGCCCTTTGATAAAAAAGGTGTATTTTTCTGTGTGCTGCCAGATACACAAAACCTTGTCCGGACTACTCCTCATAAACTACTAGTTGCCAATTTCATCTAAACTTTACAGGAAATTGATCAGTACCAAGGGTAGTTGTGCATATTATCAGCATTTTCCGGGTTCAATGGATTTTTGTCAGAGTTATGGCCCTTTAAATAATTTTTATTTTTAAAGTTTGTCCGGACTACTTCTCTTATACCACTGAAGGCAATTTTCAATGAAACTTTACAGGATTGATCTGTTAGCTCAAGTCCTTGCGCATATTGCACGGGTTTTCCAGTTGAAGGATTTTTGGCCGAGTTACGGTCCTTTGATAAAAAGGTGTTTTTTCTGTATGTTGCCAGATACGCAAAAGCTTGTCCGGACTACTCCTCATAAACTACTGGTGCAATTTTATCCAAACTTTACAGGAATGATAAGTACCAAGTCTAGTTGTGCACTGTCCGTCTGTCTGTCCGTCTGTCACAAACTTTGTCCCAACATGAAATTGGCCATCATGAGGCGACACATGTGATTACTGATCGCTCTTGTTTGATACAGCTTTGAATTTAATGCAAATAGGTTAACTGAAACCATTTAATAAAAGCTTTTGTAATAAGTATAAATTTTAAAAGCTCATAAAAATTTGCTTATGACACTGCTGGAACCAAAATTAATTAGCCTTTGTCAGAATAGAGCCAGGCAAGCCTAAACATCCTTGTCAGTATAGAGTCAGGTCACCGTGCACATCCTTGTCAGTATAGAGCCAGGCCAGCCTGCACACCCTTGTCAGTATTGAGCCAGACCAGCCTGAACATCCTTGTCAGTATAGAGCCAGGCCACCCTGCACACCATTGTCCAGTAAAAGAGCCAGGCCAGCTGCACATCCTTATTAGTATAGAGGCAAGACCAGGGCCTTGAACATCCTTGTCAGTATTAGAGTCAGGCCACCCTGCACAACTATTGTCAGTTAAAGAGCCAGGCCAGCTGCACACCGTTGTAAGTATAGAGCCAGGCAAAACCTGCACACCTTTGTCAGTATAGAGCCATGCCAGCTGCACACCCTTGTCAGTATAGAGCCAGGCCACCTGTACATCTTTGTCAGTATAGAAGCCATGGTCAGCTGCACATCCTTATTAGTATAGAGCCAGACCAGCCTGCACACCCTTTGTCAGTATAGAGCCAGGCCACCCGTACATCTTTTGTCCAGT